TTTTCAAGTCGATTCTAATCTGGTTCGACGTGGGGAGTCTGCTGGGGTGGGGGGCTGCGTTTTATACGGGGTTTTATACGGTTATCTGAGCAGATGTGAATGAAGCTTTGACAGTATGTCCAGACAACGTGAGGAACAATGGAGGAATGTAGGAAGAAGGAACGATAGAAGAGCAGGGTTCTTTTCAGATAGTGAGAGAGATCGAATGAATGGTAGAGGCGGAGGCCAACAATCAAATGCAGAGTCAGTAAGTAAAATTGTTATCTCATTCTATGTTACTAACCTCCCTCCTGACCTGCAACCAAGGGAATTATGGCATGCATGTGAGAAACTTGGGAATGTAGTAGATGTGTATATTGCCCAGAAGTGTTCTAGAATGGGGAAACGGTTTGGCTTTGTACGTTTCATTAAGGTTAAACACAATCAGGAATTGGAGAGGAGATTGTGTGAGTTATGGTTTGGAAACTATCATGTTTTTGCCTCGATATATAAGTTCACTAGACAGAATCAAAGCAAATCCGATACAGGTTATGGGAAACAATACCAGAAAAAGAAGACGAGTGAATTGAAAGATGGAGATGGGCAGAAAAAGAAATCTTATGCCAAGGCTATTGTGGGGGAAGGGACTAGTACTCATAAAGATACTAGTATGGGTCGAAAGGTCATAATTGGGGGTAGAGAATTAACTGGTATGACCGAGGTTCAGTCTACAGTGCTTGCTGAAGTAAGGGAAGCTGCTTCGATTCCGAATCTAATTAACTTATGCTCTGAGGAAGGATTTTCTGATATCAAAATCAGATATGTCGGTGGGTTGTGGGTAGTGGTGTCATTTGAGTCTGCTAAAGCCTGTAAGAATTTTTCGTCTAATGCTGGTATCCAGAATATTTTTTGTAAGTTTCATGGTATAACTAAAGATTTTTTTTATCTCGCAAAGAGCTGTTTGGTTGGAAATTCTTGGGTTGCCTATGTGTACATGGAATCCATGTGTTTTCAAGAAGATTGCTTCGGTATGGGGATCAGTACTGTTTTCAGATGATTATGAGAATAATTGCATGTCAACTGGAAAAGTATGTGTGTTTACTGGGATTATGGCAAGTATTCACGAATCGTTATGGGTAACTATTGAAGGTACAGATTACCAGGTATATGTGAAAGAAATGGCACCGTGGGAACCTGATGTGGCACAAGATGGGAGTTTTGTAAAAGGAAGACAATAATTCCTTTGGATCGTTTGACGAAGGAGAAGGTGAGTCTTTTGGCTTCAATTCAGATAAAGAAAATAAGGAGCATGATCGAAACCGTGAGGATGTTAATGTTAATGAAGTGAATAGTGAACCTGATTTTATACAGGAAGTGGAGAAAATTAATGATGCTGGTAATGATGAAATAGGGAATAATAATAGGCCTCACAATGTTCCTGTGCAATCGATGGGTATTGGTCATGGTTCAGCTTCGAAATTTGAGTTTAATAAAATGGAGAATGTGCAGTCGGAGGATCAAAGGAGTAGTGCTAGTATCTCGAAGCCACCAGGTTTCGGGGGTAAAGTTTTCAAAGAAACTCGTGGGCCTTTTCAATATTCAGAGGATAATCTTAGGAAGTCGTGGAGTACAGGATCAGTAAAGATTTTGAAGAATGTTATCCCATCGGTGGGGGCTAACTCGTGTGAAGAAGTGAGTAGGTTTATTGAGCTAGGAAAAATCCTTGGTTATGACGTGGAGAATGCTAAGGCGGATTTGAAAAATCGTCTAGTCGGTATGGGAGTGCTTCAGTCTTTATGAATTGTGTATCCCTTAATGTTTGTGGCCTAAATACGTCTAAAAAACATAGATGGGTTAAAGAGATTTGCAATAGTAACATGGTGAATTCTATTGGTATTCAAGAAACGCGTTTGACTCGGGTAGACCTTTTTAAAATAAGGTCTCTTTGGGGTAATTCAGCTTTTGATTTTGCTTGTAGTACGGCTAGGGGATGCTCAGATGGTATTTTGTCGGTGTGGGATACTTCGGTGTTTAAGAATGAGAGGATACATTGTCATGAAAATGTGGTGATTGTTGAAGGCTGCTGGATTAGAAAAAATATTAAATGTACTATGTTCAATGTGTATGCTCCTCAAGATGCTGGAAAGAAAAGGGATCTATGGCAATATGTGATCTCGTATATGTCCAGAGTAAATGGTGATTTTATAGTCTTTGGTGATTTCAATGTGGTTAGATCTTCTAATGAGAGACGTGGGTCTTTGTTCTCTGTCTCACAGGCTGCCGATTTTAATAATTTCATTTATGAGGCTGATCTTTTTGACATTCCTATGGAGGGAAGGAAATTTACCCGGATGGACAAGGCTGGTATGAAACTAAGTCGGTTGGATAGATTCCTTATTTCTGAGAGTTTGTTAGATGCTATTCCAGATATCTCGTGTATTGCTTTGGATAGGAGGTGGTCAGACCATTGCCCGTTACTTTTGAAGGATGATCATAATAATTATGGTCCAATTTCGTTTAAGCTTTTTAATTCGTGGCTTCAAATAAAAATGGTTTTTCTGATGTAGTTTCTCAAGCAGTTAAAGAATTTGTTCCAGACTGTACTTTGAATAAGTGTCTTAACCTGAAGAATAAGCTCAAACTCGTTAAAGCCAAGCTTAAGGATTAGCAAGCTGATATGCGTAAGTTGAAAGGGGAGCAAAGAAAAGAGTTTATTAATCGCTTTCTTGATATTGATAAGTTGATTGATAGTGGGACTGTTTCGGCTGATGACATGGTCGAGAGGAAGAATATTCTTCAACAGGTTTCGGATATTGACAAGGCGGAGAGTATGGACTATGCTCAAAAGGCTAAGGTTAAATGGGCGGTAGAAGGAGATGAGAATTCAAATTTCTTTCATGGCATGTTAAAAAGAAAAAGAAAACAGATGACTATTAAAGGAATCTCTCAAGATGGTACCTGGGTGACTAATCCAAGTTTAGTTAAGGAGGCGTTTTTAAAGTTTTACAAAAATAAATTCAAGCATTCTAAGGTGGTTAGGATGGGTACCCCTAGCTTTCGGTTTAGAAAACTAAATGAAGAACAGGTGGAGTCCTTACAAGCTTATTTTTCGGATGATGAAGTCAGGGAGGCGGTGTGTCGTGTGGGAGTGATAGGGCTCCGGGCCCAACGGGTTTACGTTCCGGTTCCTGAAACAATTTTGGAGTCTTTTTGAGAAGGATGAGTATGACTTCATGAGGGAGTTTTTTGATACCGGTATCATTTCGCCAGGGTGTAACTCTTCTTTTATTACGTTAATTCCTAAAGTTGAAAATCCAACCGAGATCAAAGATTATAGGCCGATTAGTCTAATTGGGTTGCAGTATAAGATTGTTGCGAAGTTATTGGCTAATAGATTGGCTAAGGTGGTAGACTATTTAGTCAATCCAGTCCAGTCTGCCTTTATAAAAGGAAGGCAGATTTTAGACGGGTCTCTTATGGTTAATGAAATCGTTAGATGGTCCAAGTTGAAAAAAAAGAAAATGTTGTTATTTAAAGTAGAATTTGAAAAAGCCTATGACTCAATCTCATGGGAGTATTTAGATAAGATTATGGAGGTAATGGGATTTGGTGAGAAATGGCGCATGTGGATTAGGGGTTGCCTGCAGTCTGCTAGGTCTTCGGTCCTTCTGAATGGTAATACGACAGCTGAGTTTCAACTGCAGCGTGGTCTTCGTCAAGGAGATCCGTTATCTCCGTTTTTTTTATTCTGATTATGGAAGGTTTGCATGTGTGTATGGAAGATGCTAATCACAATTTGATTTTTAAAGGTGTTACTATTGGAGAACAGAACTTGCATATCTCGCACTTGTTTTATGCGGATGATGCAATCTTTCTTGGAGAATGGGATGCTGAGAATATCAAGAATTTAAGTCGAATTCTTAGGGTTTTCTATATGGCGTCTGGGCTTCAGATTAATCTTCATAAGTCAAAATTGTACGTGGTTGGTGTTGAGCAGGAGGCTATTGTGCAATTAGCTACATGTACAGGGTGTGGTGCAGACTCGATTCCTTTTGTTTATCTTGGGCTTCCTGTTGGTCAGCTTATGCACAGGAAGTTGGCGTGGGAATCAATTTTTACCAGGTTCCGTAAAAAACTTTCGGGTTGGAAATCAAAGATGTTATCTATTGGAGGCAGATTAACTTTGGTTAGATCAGTGCTGGGCAGCTTGGGAATTTATTTTCTTTCCATGTTTCGGATGCCTAATTCTGTTTGTAAGGAGTTGGAAAGAAGTAGAGCTAGATTCTTTTGGGGAGCAGATGATCGTCAAAGATTCTTACATTGGGTTAAATGGGAGATGGTGTTAAATGATAAAAAAATGGTGGCCTTTCCATTGGTAGTTTGGAGTCGTTTAACTACTCCTTGATTTATAAATGGCGTTGGCGGTTTTTGAATAGCTCTAACCTTCTTTGGGTGGACCTCATTAAAAGCTGTTACGGGAGTGATGGAGGGTTTTGCATGGCCTCTCGGTCCAAACCAAAGAAAGGAGTTTGGCTGGGGATTGTTAATACGGTTTGGGATATGCATTATAGAGGATTAATTTCGTTCGACTCTATATGTAGGAGGGTGGGGAATGGCCAAAGTATTAGCTTCTGGAATGATGTTTGGTGTGGTGACATTATGCTTAGAGCTAGATTTCCTCGTTTATGTGTTGTATCTAGTAATGTTAATGCGTTGGTTAGTGACTATTAGGACGGGCATGATTGAAGGTTTCAATGGGTTCGGATGTTTGATGGTGGGGTTTTGGCTGATCAGCTTCTTCAACTGATGACGATGTTGCAGTCGGTGCACCCTCTAACTAGTAGGGATTCTTGACGGTGGGCTATTGGAGACGAAGATACGTATTTTGTGAAAGAGACTCGACTACTTTTAGATCGACTTAGTCTTCCTTTAGTTGGTGTGGAGACTAGATGGAATACATGGCTCCCTATAAAAATTAATATTTTTATTTGGAGAGTGGTGCTAAATAGCCTTCCTACGAGAGATAATTTGGATAGAAGGGGGCTAGACATTACTTCGGTGCTGTGTCCGGTGTGTCAACAGGCACGGGAAAGCGTGAATCATTTGATTTTTAGTTATACAGTGGCTTTTCATCTTTGGCTTAAGGTGGCAAAGTGGGTGTACCTTCATATTCCTTCGTTTTCAAGTGTTGAAGAGCAGTTGCAGTGGGTCGATGGGTTGACGATGGTGAGGTTTAAAAGGTTGATTATGGCTTCGGTTTGCTCTACTTTGCTTTGGGTGTTGTGGACGTTTCGAAATGATATCATGTTTTAGGAACAAGAAGATGAAAAAGGAAGTTTTGTTTGATTCCGTTGTTTCTTTCTCTTTTAATTGGTATAGTGCTAGGAATCGTAAGGCTAGCATAAATTGGACTGATTGGTTGAAAAACCCTGTCTTGAACTAATTGTTTTGTTTTGGTTTAGCTAGTTTTTCGCTAGCTTTTATTTCAATTTTCCGTTCGAAAAAATAATGGGAGAAAAACAACAATGGACCAATGAGCATTTAAAATGCTTATTGGATACTTGTATTGAAGAAGTAGAGAGTGTCGGTAGAAAAGGATTGAGTTTGCAGAAAGACTCATGGATAAGGCTTGGAAGAGTTCTTAAGGAGAAATTTAGGTTTGAGTTGAGTCAAAAACAAATGAAAAACGCATATGACAATCTGAAAGCCAAATACACATGATGGGTGTATTTAAAAAACAAAACTGGTAATATATACAACTCTCAAACAAACACTTTAACTTAACAGCGAGGAGTGGGATGATTTTAAGAAGGTATATATATACATTAATATATATATATATATATATATATATATATATATATATACATATTAAACATTTACGTTTGAAGTTGCCAAATATTCTTATACTATTTTTTTGTTACATTTGGGTTTAGGTGCATCCGAAGGCTACTTCATTGAGAACAATTCCACTGCCTTTTGCAGATCTTTTTGCACGTCTTTTTGATGGAAATAGTGCAGCTGGTGATTTTAGGAGTTACTCAACCCAATCATCATCAGTAGTTGGAGAATCCTCCTGTCGTGTTCCACCACTTCAGATTACCGCCACCCCTTTTCATGCAATAGATGATGGTGGTGATGACACTTCCCACTATGAGCCACCACCTTCTGCTGCTTCACCTTCTGCAACTTCTCCTTCTGATTCACCATCTGGTAACCCCAACAAAAGGGCTAAACCCTCATCTCCTATAGCTCCTAGTGCCTCACCGTCTGCTTCTTCACCTGATGGAACTTCTATTACTGCTGGCGATTTAGCATTAGAAATGAAAAAAGCTCTAAAAAGTTTGACTAAAGGGTATACAATCCCTCAATGTTTAGAGAAGTTAGAGGTGCTTTAGTTAGGCCCTACAGATCCTTGCTTTGTTGCATATCATATTTTTGGCGGGACCATGACTATGAGAGAGATGTGGATGCATTTGCCCGATGTTCCCGAGATATTACGAGGATGGCTTGAGATGACGGGTACAAGTTTAGGAGTTTTGAAGGATGGAAAGATTGTTCGATGATTTTTCTAGTGTTGAAACTATTTGTTAGGTCTTTTTGCCTTTGTTGGAACTATTTTGTTAGGCCTTTTTGCCTTTGTTGGAACTATTTTTTGTTATTTTGCTACTTGGAATATGGTTTATCTAATGTTTTTTTGGTACTTGAAATATATGATTAATGTAATGTTTTTTTGCTACTTGAAATATGGTTTATGTAATGTTTTTTTGCTACTTGAAATATGATTAATGTAATGTTTT